TCATTAGAAAATTGTGCGGATGCCACTACGAATATTCATGGGATTTCTGTTTCACAAATGACGACAGATATGTCTTCTATTCCTCAAATGAGACATACCAAATTAGGCTTGTCAATAAGATTGCACTTTCATGGCAGCACAAAGGTAAGATTACCCCCCCCCCCTCCCCCCCCCCCCCATTTTTGGTGTGGTTTGTAATGTTCAATCTTTAGTTTTGTATACTTTTGTTTGACTTTTTTCGTTTTTCTTATTTTCCATGGCATCGTCTGTTTGTTTTCGACTTGAGTTGGACTATTCCTTTTGTATCTTTTGCGTCCATTTCATATTTTCTTGTGTTGCTAATCAATTTTGCTATTTACGTTTTAGTCTATTTCATTCGTTGTATTATAGCTTTTAATATTCAAGGTAAAAACTCCAATACTGGTCAAAATTTAAGGTTAATGGCGCTTTAAACAAGTAGACTGACGATTGCGGTCACTTTCACTAATTTGTAGATCAAATCTTGTTGACCATTCTGTTATTTACAACTACATCTGAACTATTAACTATAGATTCTGTTACAAAAATACCAACAGTGACACCAATAAAGAGAAGATCGATATATTTGCCATATATCTTGTTCGACTGACAATTTTAGTTTTTATTTTTAGTTCAAGGTATAGCTATTATGATTTTGTTTCACGATTATAGCCAAAACACAGACAAGGTTAACTTAGTTTTTTAACAGTTGTCCGATTTGTACATGTACATCATACATCTGTTTATCCTTTCTTATATTCAAGGGCAATACCTCCTAGAAAGAGTCACTTGACGATTCGGACAGTTTACTTGTGGGTCATAATTTGCTGACTATTCTCCTTTTTACAATTGTTTTCTTCTTGTTAGTATAGTTTCCGAAGAAATGATATAAAAGGGGGGAAAAACATCAACCAATAAGGTCATGTTATCTAATTTTGCAGCTCAGTTTTAATTTTTAAAGTTTCTCTCTATATATTAAAGTTTTAAAATTTATAACGGAACAATGCTGGCTAAAAGTGGATACCCCAGTTGAGCAATAAGTTAATGGTGATTTGAATTTTTTAGAAAGTGCAAGGTAGATAGAAATTGACCCGTTGAATATTTAACTTTAGTAAGTTTAGCTTGAAAAACTTTTCCGATAAAAACTAACAACTGCTGTTCTACAACACAAATCTATTTAGATAAACAGTGGCCTTATTCATGATTCGCTAAGGATATTGAAACATGAGTCTTATAGTTTCAAGTAGATTTTTATTTTGATTAAGGACGCTAAGTCAAAAGCTTACATAGCCTTTTGATCCATCAGAGATTAGAACTATACACATAGAATATATGCATTTTCTTTTTTTAGTCTGACTTTATCAGTAAGAATATTAAGCGAGTTCGCTGGGGCGAGACGAAAGTCGAGCTGATGAAATTAGTATCTAAACATGCAATGCTATTACTATTTTTAAAGGCAGTTTGTCTTAACTATATGTTTTTTTTATTAAAAATATAAAGTAAGATGAAATAGTAAGTAAAAATACAGCCTCTGTTTTGGTCTGATGGACACAGCAAACAAAACGTATTGGCGAATTTATTACGCAAGTTACCTAGATGGTATATTTTGAATTTCCGTTTTGTTCATTTTATAGGTATACAGATTTATAGAAAATTCAAGGAGGAAATAAAAAACAAAAGTCGAAGAAAACAAGAAACAATGAACAGTCTGCAAAACACCACACAAATTAGTAAAGACTGGGTAATATGAACCCGACTTAAAATGCAGAAAGTGATCTGCAATCAATCGGAGGGATAAGCAGATCCTGCTCTAAACATGCCACATGTCTTGTTACTAAATTTGATTGGATGTAGACATATAACATCACGTTACATCGAACTACACACCAGAAACTATGAATTTCAGTAAAGATACAAGGAATATTTTAGTATGTCGTTCTTTTTAAACAAAAATGCAAATGGTAATTAATGAATGATGTTGACATGAGGATTTGTTTTATCTTTGAGTTCTCTTACATAAATGATAGTTGACGGTTTAGAATTAAAAATTCTGAAAACTGCAGTTTCACATATTATATTGCCTGGTTATTGGCATACTGTCTGATCAAATAGTTTAAATGGCATGATTTATCAACACCAATTGTATATTATGACCCCATGAGATCTTACAGGCAAGAAAAACCGATATATAATGAATAATTACATCGAATATAACCAGGTTGGAATAACATTTACATAACAAATAAATTTTAACCTTATTCCATGTCACTAAAAATATCAAATTTAAGCTCCTTGTAATAAATTCCATAAAACGAAATCGATACTGTTTTATCATGCAACTAAGACTAAATTGTCAATCAGTAAACATCCAACATCAAATGGATTTAGTGTAAGGACGTCATAAACATGATAAACATGCAGTCAGAGAAAACATGACCTTGTGCAACTCCATGATACAGGTATCGACAGATTGTAGATCCATGAAAGTGCATATGTTTATAACAATAATATTTAGTTTGCTTTTAATTCAATGATACAAAAATCAATAATAATACCGATAAAAACAATATTCAAAGTTCTAATTACAGTGTTGAACTGGTAGCCTTTTAGAATAAGTTTATTTAAAGGATCGATAGTTTTACCAGGATCGTTTCAAAATTTCCGGGCACGATAAACAACGACTTCGTAAAATGAGGATGTGCTATCCCGTTTGGAATAAGTTTTCACAGGTACAACCAAACTTCAAAACCAAATCTTTATATCTATAAAAGAATTTTGTTAAGGTTTTTAAGTTATTTGTGATAACGAAATCCCTGACCTGATAATTTACCAGTAATACATAGACTGGTTGGTTCAGAGTTAAAATTCTTTTCTGAATAGGTTGACATATCTTTCTTCGGACTGTAAACTAGAACTTAAAATTCGGATGAACGTGTCTGTATATAACACTAATAAGGGTTTATATTCATATCACTTATTAAACTGAATTCATACACATCACATAAACCGTCATGTTCTCGCCCTGATGTCCATGTATAATTTGCAACTAAATGTTATTGTGTGTGTAACATTACTGTCTGAAACACCAGTCCGTCATTATCATATCTAAATTAATACGAATAATTTATCGAAGCTTTAATACAAAAAAAATCTTACGAGCCTTGGTTTTTGGTCCTTCTTTGCAAATTTTGCATATATACTCATAATAATAGTATTATCCATTATCATTATCCATTATCACTGAACTAGTACACATTTTTGTTTAGGGACCAGCTGAAGCACGCCTCCGGGTACGGGATTTTCTCGGTGGGTTGAAGACCCATTGGTGGCCTTCTGATGTTTTCTGCTCTTTGGTCGGGCTGTTGTCTCTTTGACACATTCCCCATTTCCATTCTCAATTTTATCTACGAATGGTCTGATTACCGGTTTCCTCCTAGAACATTGTAGAATCAAACAGGGAATCAAATGACATTCATTTCGGACAAAAAGTGTACGGAAATACCCGAACAGACTCTATGCTGTCGTAAATTGATTTTAGGTGTTCGTTGTTATTATGTGGTTAACATGTCAAAATGTACTATTTTTTATATTATTTATTTATGTATTTCTCTGTCCTGAGTGTTCTTGTATTTATTTGTACTGTATTCCTGTCACGTAATATTGTTATTTTAGCGGTATGTTTAACATAGCGATATAAGCGGGAGGTTTGGCTAGCCATAAAACCAGGTTCAATCCACATTTTTTCTTAAAATGTCTTTTACCAAGTCAGGAATACGGCAAATGTTATCAAATATTATTTTTCTATGTATGCTGCATTGTCGTTAGTTTTTGTTGCACTTCAGTGTTTCTGTTGTTCCGTTGTTTTCCTCTTAAAGTGGATGTGTTTCCCTCGGTTTTAGTTTGTAACCCGGATTTATTTTCTCTCAATCGATTTATGACTTTTTAACAGCGGTAAATTACTGTTGCCTTTATTTCCTGTATATTTTCGAAGCTGCTCACTTGTTAGTAGTACAGTACCCGGTGTAATAATTTCAATTTTGTTAAACTTTTTTAAGACATTGACTTTAATCATGAAACATGTATTTTATAATTAATCAATACAGGACCATCTTATTGTTGGTCTGTTTTTGCCTCATTTTCACCCAATATTCGATATTTATTACCCATATTCTCCCTGATGTAAGCGTACACATTGGTCATTTTTGTACAGATGACTTATTGCTTTCGATTGTTAGACAAATTATCTGTGCATTTTTGTAATCGATTGTTAGTAATTTATCTGTGACTTATTTAAATCGATTGTTAGATAGTTTATCTGTGACAATAATTTTATAAAAAGAAACCAGAATATATGACGTAATTATCAGTCCAATCTACATATACAAACATCCCAACACCGTGTTTTCCATACTAGTGGCACTCTCTCTAGATGTTAAACAACTATTTCAACAACTATTTGATTAAGGGGGTCTATAGGTAACCTTTCATTTCATTCCCTTTTTTTACAATTGGAGTCAAATTCCAGGCCTTTCTCTTTTGTAGGTTCTACTGAATCTGCATACTTGATGTATTGTTTATCTTATAGTCGTTCTGCATATTCATAAAATATTGCAACACCAATAGATATTCAAACTCACCTCATATTATATGAGACTGCTTGATTTAATCGACGAATTGCTACTATACCTTCAGTTGAACTATTACATGATTATTCAAGAAGACAGCATTTAAATGCCGGAGCAGTTCTAGATTTGTTTTTACTTGTGTATCACAGGGGTTTCAACGGAAAGATGGGGATTCAATTCTGATAATCGTCGCTTTAAATCAAATAAAAAAGAACTCCGAAAAAGAGTTTCCAAACCGTTGTTAAACTGTCCCGGTCTTGGACAGAAAAGTCACATGAATATAGCTAGCTCTTTTATGAGAACGATAGAGGAAAACTCATGTAGTATGATTATAGGCAACATTAGTTCACCGATTTTTCAAATCTCACCAATCAATGAAGAAGACAAATCCAGGAAACAGACAAAAACTGAGAAATTCAAATTGACTACAAAAGGCGCGAGAACGATTGTGTCGACAGGGTGAGTGTCGACAGGGTGAGTGTCTCCTGTTATGCGATGAAGTAAGTCACACTTTGCTTTGATTAAATAATCGTTACTTTGTACTGACGAAGCAAATGTTTGTTCTCTATTATTAGAAGCTATTATTATACGGAGCATCAGAATCGATAAATGTTTCACGGCTTTGATATAGTTATCTGTTCCTATCAATTTTGTTACGTATTCTTTCGTTTTATCATTGAAAGAAAAATCTGTAATAAGAGTATGATCGTTCGACAGAGTGATGGTTTCGTCCGTACATTTAGACAAAGCATGGTTTATTACAGCTAATGCGGCTCGATAATTCTTATAAACATTGAAAAATGAGGCCAATACCAGCCATCCTGATAACGCATCTGAATTCAAACCTACCAGCAAGTGACTGAGCCCATGTGTGTACTCATAATAGTGTTGTTTGTTGTTTGATCTGTGGTGAGCATCTGATCTTTGTGATACAAACTGGTGTGCATTTGACAAAAATAGACTAAAGATACTTTTTCCTAGTCTACTTTTAGAGTGGTGTAGGAAGTTGTACATCAATCTACGAATATGTCCTCTATCGTTGTTAAGTGGGAACAGCTCTATTATTTCTTCTACTAATTTTGAATTCCAATCAAATGACTTGGTAACACCACATGAAAACATTGAGAAATCATTCAAAGATTCTGATGAAGAAAAAAATTGAATACCTCGATGATATGAATTCTTAAGGAGGTTGATTAGCTTTTCTTTGTTTCTCGTATTGAACCTTGAATAAAAGAGATTTGTTTCTGGAATGAAATAGTGTAACAGTGTTGAATACTCTATACAGTATAACAATTTCTGTAAGCATGCCATAAAACAAGGAATAATGTTGTCTGGTCGCCAAATAGACGGATCAGATTCTTCAGATATCCAAAACATAAGAGTTTTGATGAAGTAGGAACATAGTAAATCTTTAAGTATGTCAATCTTTTGTATAATTTCTTTCAGCAGAATTTTCAATAAAGCATAGCACAGTAACTGGGTATGACTCCATGAAAAGATCAATATTTTTTTCTGCCACAGAAAACGATATCCTCCATTCAAAATTTTCATTAACGGATCCTTTACAACCGATAGGGACAAAAAGGACACCTAAGGATGTTATCTGTGAAATAAGTCTAGAAGGTGGCCATAGTGAACGTGGTCTGCTGATCCATGGCTGCGCTGCTGATATCCATTTTTCACATTTGATGCAATATGCAATATCATGCTGTTCGAAATCGTCTGTTATACATGGACCATGAGTATGCCTCAACGAAGGTTTTGTTTTTTTCAATTGTCTTAAACGATGCATTCGAAAAAGTTCACTTGATAGCAGAATCTTGCCATCTTTCTGTTCGAACATCAGCTCAGGATACACATTCTGGTTGCTTAATAAATGAAGATAGGTGAAACATGGGGGCGTTTCCTCTTTATTCATAATAAAAGCCGCTTTATCAATAGTAGTAACATCACTCTCAAGTTCATATACTCTGTAATCAGGTTCGATAAACATAACATTGGTGTCACTATCTTTAAAATTGAGTCCTTCCCCTTTACTTCCACTGCTGACTTTCGGAAAATTATTATCCAAGGCTATATCCCCGATTGTACACAATAATCATCTTGCCCTTACAATATCATCAGATCCCACTTTCTGGCATAGATACGTAAAGAATTCTAATGATTTTCTTTTATCCGATTTGGCCATTCGGGTCAGTTTTATTCTGTCGCTGAAGTAGCTTTTAGATTAACTTTGTACCTGAAATATTAAAACGAATGTGAACTTTTAATAAAGAAATCGAAGTACACAACTAATTAGAAATTAAGAGCCAATCTGCTAGAAAACCATGCAAAACCGTCTAAATGTCACTTTTACCAAATAAGTTCATATTTGGCACATTGGTGCACCTTAGTAATATAAATAAGCACACACATTTTTGTTGTTGAAAATATTGAACCGTTTTGAATTTTTGGGGCGTCAACTTTTATCAGACGAAATTTGCTCGAAAACTGCAAAAAATAAGCCTTTCTTGGCATATTTCGCCGGTTTAAATAAAACAATATGGCAACGGAAAATAAAAAAAAAGTAATAGTTCCTAATGATACATTACTTCGGATGTAAGAATGCATAGAATTAACAATGCTGTATATCAAGTGTATGCATATTCTAACTGTTTCAATATGTCTTATTAAGCTTAATATCCAAAATAGCTGATTTTGGTCATCTTTTAGCGCCAAAATACTCCAAGACCTATTTTTAAGTGTAAAACAACACATCTATTTATACCCAATTAAAAAAAAATATCCAGCTCGGCAATTAATGCTGGAGTCTGGTAGATTCCACAACAAAATGGGGTAACCTGCATATTCAAATTTTCTCAATGTTGTCGTCTTATTTGTAACAACTGACATACAAGTATGATAAGAGCTGTACTTGTAAATTAATATAACAACAAATTGAAAAGAATGATTAATGTTTCATTTAATACCTTCCGGAAATAATAATATGCGAATACAAATTATTCATCATAAATCTAGAGGATAACAGGAGCCAGATTATATCGCATTGACAAATAATGCACCTTAAAACATTAAAACACACATTTCAAAAGCAACAACTTTAAAAGAAGAATTTAAACAATTTAGAATACGTATATAAACAGACTTTAAAATAACCAGTTCCTACTGACCATTTGTGCAAATAATGAAAATAATACTTATAATGCATTGATATAGTTGTCGGATAATAGCAGAAAACTGTGAAAATTCGGAAATTCACACATTTTTTCTGAAAATTCTAGGGTATTTAGTTTTTATTGAAATATATGTACTGCCCTTCTTCTATAGTTTTTAAGACAATGGCTACAAAAAACTGTAAACAGAGATATTTCAATACAGAGATGATTTTGACAGACACTTAGTGTTGGGAATTGATTTCACGGCCCTTTGAGCAAAGTATGCTAACAAGGCAAGTTTGGCGAAGTACTTTTATCTATGTTTGCTGCAATGTGGTCAATACAATCATGAAAATGCATGTAAAAACATCCCATAACAAGACATGATATGACAACAAGTTAACACCTGATATGTAGCAATTGTTGTAACAATACACATGTTTCATACAATATTCATATTTACACAGACACTTCATATTATTATATATGCTTAAAACCTTGTTATGATTCCTATCCTATATTTTCTTTTCATTTTAAATCATCCTTTTGCTATATTTCAAAAGCAGCCGTAGCTAAAATGTTTTAAAATATCCAAACGCAATGCATTTTATTTCATGACATACAAACCATTTTGCTAAATCAGACATTTACAAATTACTAGTAAGTCAAAAATACTTGTGCAAAATTTATAAAGAATTATGAATGATAATCGAAAGTTGTTAAGATTACTGTATCTATAAGGCCCTACATCACATCTTCGGAAATAACATAATTGAATTAAGTCATATGAAACTTCAAATTAAAAAAAAAGTTGAATATGTTTTTTATCATGTTTATACTTGAATGTATACGTTTTACTATAAACAAAAGAAAATCCTTTATGATATTATCAAAATCTTCATAAATGAACTGCTATTGAAATATTGTCTTCCTGTATGCATTGACCTTAACTATGACTTCTCGTAGAACTTTGGTCATCGCACAGCGAAAGTGCAAGGTAAAACCATGATGAAAGAATGTAAAGAAATGTGCACTGGAAGGTAAAAAGTAATAACTTATTCTTTATTCTTAAAGAACAAATTTAATACAAAACATCATTCAACAACTGTGAGGGGGAATTTTAATTTACAATTTGGAACGCATGGAAAATATAATAAAAAAAAAATTAGCAAGGCTCTATTCGCTTGTATGAAACGTGTTCCACGTGCTCTGTGTTGATTGTTTAACAATGGCACGATTCAGTAAACTTTGGCAACCAAATCGAAATTTAAATAGCATTTGAACAACAATCACTTAATGAAATAGTATTTGTCGATTATACGTTTAATAGATTTGTAATAAACAAAGAAAAATGTGCATACAGGACTTACTTTAGTACATCTGCATGCATTGGTTCAAACATTTTGAAAGCATGCAAATAAGAAAGAGCTCATTTCATATGACTATAAGGAAAATCTCAAAGACCATGGAGAACGAAATGGTTTATTTCAACATGATCGTGCCACTTGCATATTAAGACAGTAATTTTGAAATTTGTTGAAACGATTTTTTTTTTATGAGATTAAGTGAACAAATTGTATATGTACATGCAACACAGTCGCAATATCAGTACCTTTGAGATAAAATATTAAATCTTACATAATAAGTAATATACTAAAATACAATACAACAATTTGAACATACACATGTATCTACAGAAACTGGTGCACAATGTCTGTTTTCCATTCTGTCATGTTGTTGTGAAATTCAAGTGACTCGATATCATCTAAAAAATTTTCAATAACATCAGCAGTTTCATATGATTTCAAAGATGTTTCAGTAACCAGCCTGACAAATTAGCAAAAAGACTTCGTATTTGAGATGGTGACAACCATTTTCCCTGTGTGAACATTTTGGTGCCATTATTATCATGTCTTGTTGTTTTGAGGTCATTTGTACGTTTATCAAAATATGGTTTTCTCTCTTAAATTTCACACTTTAAATAAATTTCAAATAGGAAGTTTTTCACCTTTTCGGTGAATCGGTTAAAAGGTTTCTTCAAATATGCATGGGTTAGAAATTGTTCTTAATCTGACAATAAAAAAATGGAAAAATGTTTTTTTTCCAAAATAAATCAAGAGAATTTTTTTTTAATTTGGAATTGGTTATCTGTCATACAAAAAAGGAAATATGAAAAATAAATTTTGGCATACTGTACTCCATGCATGGGACATTATTGTTAATAATAATTTATCAGAAAACAACGTCAGAAATAATTGTCTCCTTTTAATTATAAACAGTTAATATTATATCTTATCAGATTGAAACTAAATATCCCTGTAAGCGCCTCTTATATAACGGGCCATTTTGAGCATTGCTTATTTCTTAACGTCCGTCGTCTTTCGTCCGTCCATCATCTTCCATCGTCGTCGGCAGCATCATTTTATTTTGCATTTTCGCTTCTCAAAGGATTGATTAACATATTGATGTTTAAACTGGCAATCTTGTGATGTTTTAATCAATTTAAACATCACAAGATTACCAGTCTGAAATAACTTAAATAACACAAAACCCTTTTCTCATTTGCATCAAGTGACTTCAACTTCAAATATTTAGTTTATTCTACCTAATGTTGTTACAATCATTCAAGAACTTAGTTTCTAATATTGTTACAAAGCTTATGTAAATAGTGTCATCAACTACTATAACTTGAGTATTAGAAGTCTTATGGTAAATCACTTTTCTTTGACTTTCAATGTGTCTCCGTTTTCACTATTGATTTCTCAACTGTGTATTCTATAACTCATACACAATCTTATCAAACCAATATTTACCTATCTAACACAGAGTTGTATTTTTGGAAGTTGGAATCAACATTCAGAAATTGAATAATTATTAGTATTTCACAAACAGCTTTCGTTTTACGGTTATATTATTGATCTTTGTCGACTGAATATTCTCTACAGTATTAAGGTATTGAGTATACAGTTGTTCAAATTTTCCGTCTGGTATTTTTTTAACATTGCTCAAGATTGTGTGTTCCTGGATTTTTGTTATGATTTTGCATCATGAATTGTACTACACATCACAGCTGATGAAATAAAAGTGTTGGATATCAAGAATTTCAAATAAGAAACATTGGTTTCAAAATATATTGTTTATTATTGATTCAACTGGAATTAGATTTTTTGGTCTTTTATTATTTTTGTATAAGTGTTGAATACTCTACTGATATTTAAAACTAATTTAACTTCGATACATGATCATGACTTCCGGTCATAAATCTAGTAATTTGTTTGGTTGATTTCATTTCTGAGTATGAGTATGATAATCGATAAATGTTTATGACAACCAAGCCCGGTGTCTGTTCCAAGTCAAGATATTCGTCGTTGGATTGCTATCTCAATACTGTAAATCTCATATATCCTGTATTTGTATAAACGAGTATTGCTACACTACAAATATTAAAATGCAGGGGAAGCAGCAACAAAAAACTTTTTTTTTTCTAAGTATCTGACCGCATTTGTCTTCTAACAAATAACGGTGCTCCCTTCCTGGACAACCACTTAAATTATATTTCTTAATAATCAAAAATAGACTGTAGCGGTAACAATTTTTTATAATAGATCAGCACAATCGAAGTCATTATCAGGTTATACTGTGTACGTGTACTTTGAATCGGTCTTCTTATAAAAAAAAAACACGTTTTCATCTTCTTCTATTAAACTCTTAACATAATTTGTATACGAAGAAGGGGAGAAGATAATAAATGACAATGAATAGCCCTGTAGAAGAAAATCTGACAACAGCATTGCAAAAATCAACAAAACGAACAGACAAACAAATAAATGAAAGAACACCTGCAACAAACATTTAAGAGATCAAAGGTAGCGTGTTTCATAGCAAAATTTCTGTCCACTATCCAACATTCCTTTTTTATTCCAGTTGTAGTCGAAATTCCAGCCCTTATTTCGATCGAGCAATTTTTCAGAATCTACCATATATATTAATTGTAAATGTTTTGCCTTCTGAATATGCATGTTGTGATGTTACACTATTGTTTCAGAAAAAGGGTGAAGGTTTGGTACCATTAAAACGTTTAAACCCGCTGCATTTGTTTGCACCTGTCCTAAGTCAGGAATCTGATGTTCCGTAGTTGTCGTTTGTTGATGTGGTTCATAAGTGTTTCTCGTTTCTCGTTTTTTATATAGATTAGACCGTTGGTTTTCCCGTTTGAATGGGTTTTTTTTGGGGCCCTTTATAGCTTACTGTTCGGTGTGAGCCAAGGCTCCGTATTGAAGACCGTACTGTGACCTATAATGGTTTACTTTTATAAATTTTGACTTGGAGGGAGAGTTGTCTCATTGGCACTCATACCACTTCTTCTTATTTATATCTATGAACTAATTTTACACTTTACAAACATGACAAACAAAACTCAATAAATCAATCAACCGATTTTTAACAAACAGGATTTTTCATACGCATCATCTATTGTCCGCGTCACTTTTATGTATAACATGTAGTCTTGTTTCGGTTTTAACATATTATGTATTTTTATTTCGCTTGGTCGTTTTTCTGTTTTCCTTCTTGTTTTAGCATGCTAGTCACGATTGTGAGAGGTTGTGTGTAATATTTGTCACTGGACGTTAAACACCAATCAATCATGCATTTTATCGATGTTCAGCTTTCTTTGATCTTATACTATGTCCATTACTTTCAATATGATATATATTTACTAACACTTTACAGCCTTGACCTTTTTTTAATAAATTTATGATTAATCTACATGTATATGATTCATAATGCTAGAGACGAAATGAAATAATCTAAAATGAATGAAAGCAAATTGGTATCTTACCTTTTATTTCATAGACGCTCAATTGTAACATGTGTAAGTGAAAGTGTTAAACACACGTTCCAGATCGATGCACACGATTGAAATGTTAAGTAGACTAACAAACATGAGATGTCATTCAAAACAACATCTGAATAACTATAAACTAACAATAGACGAATTGCAATAAATGTCAGATCAACTTATTTTTAGTCATAGGTTTTCCAATGTTCTATGTGGCATTAATAAACTAGCGAATCGATTCATTGATATTTTTATAAACACGTCATTACGATATCAATACATCATATCATCGAAATCAACCTGTAATTTCTCTCTACTGAAATTGTCAATTGGAATGAATAGCTGCATTGAAATATCAGAGTTTTATCAAAAGAATGGGAAGTGAGTTGAAATCAATAGATGAGATGGTTTAACTTCACTGTTATTCTGCAATTGAATAACAGTTAATCAATAAAATACAAAATCATTGATAAAAAAGTCTATAAACACTAGGCAAACATTTAAAGCAGGAACAACACGAACCCCATCAGAAGCAGTAATTATCTATTAGAAATAATTGATTTGCTGATAGAAAAAGCAGAAAGTGAAAATAAACGTATTGCAGACATGTGACTAGGCGCGAGATTTTCATGCTTATTGAGGTACCTTATTCAAAAAGGCTTCTTGTACATTTATCAAGTATAAAAACCATGTCTGTATACTACGACATAATCGTTTAAATAATAGTGTTATGGCTCTTTTTGTATTTCGACATATCATAAAAAGTAATTGATGGTGACGTTTTAATTTACGAACTCATTTATTTATCAAGTAAATTTTATTTTTAAGTTTGATTAAGATTCAGTAATGATGCATGTCACTAACACGGATAATATTCGTAGCATAGCAGTTTTAATTCAGTTTACAAAATGGCATCTCAAATGATATATATATTTTATAGCAATGGTGAATTGATTTGAACGATTGCAAGAGCCATAAAAACTCTATACAGCAGATAACGAGTTTAAATAAATATTAAATTTGAAGTTCCAAGTCGAATATAAACTTCTTGAACCCCAAAAATTGAAGCAAATGACATGGATGTACATTCTCCACGAATGATGGAATAGGACACTATGTTTTTATAGTTATTAAGATTGTTATCTGCTGTACCCTTAATATTTTTGACAGTTTTACTTATTATGTCTGTTTGTTTTATTCACACATTGTTGTCAATGGAATTTTATGCAATTGTCATACAAGTCTGAGGTTTAGCTAGCTATAAAACCAGGTTTAATTCACCATTTTCTACATAAGGAAATGTCTGTACCAAATCAGGAATATGACAGTAGTTTTCCGTTCATTTAATGTGTTTGAGCTTTTGATTTTGCCATTATATAAGGGACCTTCCGTTTTGAATTTTCCTTGGAGTTTGGTATTTTTGTTATTTTACTTTTTAAAGATTTATTGAATCTAGAGGTAATCATTATTTGTAAAGTGTTTCGAATTAGAGTATGACTTTTCAATCATGTTATATATTTCCACTAGACATGCTAGCCTTTAATCAATGAACTGAAAATGTTTATCTTAACATGCAAACATATCTGACGACCTCGTTGCAACTTTAAGATAAATCATGTATTTTTTCTGTTCTAGTACCTAGTATATGTATCATGGTTTTCAGTTTAAATCTAAATGGTTATGAAGAAGCTTCAGAAAGAGTGTTCTGAAACTCATTGATGGTTTTAGAAAGATAATTCATTTAATTTTAAACTTTAACCCTAGACTGTATGAACTGTTTCTAAATGTTAACTCCAAAAACTATAAGTCCACTTTTAGTATAACATGTTTAATATTCGAAAATAAAATAAAATTCTAAAAATCCTAATTCTTCATCTGTCATGGAATAGAAGTTCCTTCATAGTTATCAAAGGTACCAGGATTATAATTCAATACGCCAGACGCGCGTTTCGTCTACATATGACTCATTAGTGACGCTCGGATCAAAATAGTTATAAAGCCAAACAAGTACAAAGTTGAAGAGCATTGTGGACCATTAACATAACATTAATTCCAAGCAGAAGAAATATTATGAAATATTATTTCCACCGAAAGATATTTTACAGTATCTATTTCTAACGGAATAAGCGTATAGAATATTTGCTCCAATGGGAACAGACATTATAACATTGTTTATAACAAACTATCCTGAGAAACTTCTGTTAGGAGGAACAAATATAAATTGACAGAAGAAGCTTCTGTTTTCGTTTAAAACATTTCATAAATGTTTAACAAATTTAGACCTAAAAATAATGATACTATTCTGGACAAAAATACGGTCGATAGGTATGCAAATAGTTTTATTTCCAAAAGGTTTTGACTTAAATAATTCTTGTCTAAAAATGACATAAAAATCTTTAAGGTAGGTAAGGTGGGCGGAATATTTTGAGTTTTTTAGCCTTAATGATGTATAAGAAATATGTTGACCACAGACTGAACATAATTGTCAAGACGACTGAATGTAGAATTGCTATGTCTCAACTTGTGATCTTTGAAGGCAATACAATAAGCAGCTGCGCATGATGAGCCAGTCTTGTGCATATTGAAATTATTGGGAGAACAAAGTGGAATACTGAAAATAAACATCTTATCAGAATGCATGATATCCTAAGGTGTATGAATATTGTATCAAATATGACTGTTTAAAGTCTCATAATTCTGGAATAATAAACCAAAATGTTTTAAAGCCATAGCAAGTCTATATTTACCAATCCCAACAAAAGTGTAAAATTTGTGATGATCTGATCACAGCATACTAGAATAAAGCATGATCATGACCTTTTATCTTATCCAGAAAACGGGAATAAGAAATTGGAAAATTTTCTAATGAAATGATACCTTGCTCTCATCAATTTTAATTATGTAAAGTCTCCAGTGCATTAATGCAAGCATACACAAGTTAGGGTACAGCCTGTGAAATATTTACATAGATCTGACAATTAACATTACTTTAGAGAGACTAACCAGAACATTTTTTTAAATCAGGAGTTTGCTTCCTTTTATCAATTCCAACAGCTGGTTCTAATGGGGCTTAGTTGAAACTAAATCATTAAATAATTAAATGTTACATGAACATTTTCTGTATACTTGAGTCTTTTCATAATACATGTAAAAAGTAAAATATCAAAAATACCGAACTCCAAGGAAAATTCAAAACGGGAAGTCCCTTATAAAATGGCAAAATCAAAAGCACAAACACATCAAACGAATAGAAAACAACTGTCATATTCCTGACTTGGTTCAGGTATTTCCTTATGTAGAAAATGGTAGATTAAAACTTGTTTTATGGCTAACTTAACCTCTCACTTGTATGACAGTCTCATAAAATTCCATTATATTGACAACAATGTGTGATTAAAAAAAACCCAGACATAATAGGTAAAAATGTCAAAAATAAGGGTACAACATTCTGTTACAATCTTAATCACTATAAAAACGAACAAACATGTCAAAAAAGAAAAACAAAATGGCATATAGACAAAGCACATAAGCAAAAATGAAAGACAGGAATAACACAATGGCGGGATGTATAGCACCGAGCCTCGCCAAAAGGATATTACCAAAAATGGACTAAACAGTGAAGGTTAATAATTTACAAAGACAGATAAAAGAACACTATAACACGCAATTAAGACGATAGAGAACGTCAGTACCTAGAATCTATACTTCAAGACCATCATGTATTATTTGTGAAGTTGATTTATCAAAAAGGTCTTGGTATCTTCCGATGAACTTTTTAGAAAAAGGACAAGACGTTCGTTTACATTACCCTGGTTCATCAACTTTCTGCTCAGACACTCGTGACGTTTTATAAAGTCTGAGTAGCAGCTGCAAGTTCTTGAATACCGAATGAGTTGGGAAATGTATATCCCATATACAGGTGAAGTTGGTATATTGGTACTAAGGCGAGAACAATTATATTTTCAAAATTAAAATCGTCTCGTTTGTCTTAGATTCTAGTACTGAGATGACCGTTTATGTCAAATTCGAGGTATAAGTCTAAAAATGAAGCGGAAGAAGCCGTGACGGTTGTTCCTTTAATTTCTAGTTCTGGAGGATATATTAAAGAAACCCATTTCGAAAAGTTTGGATTGTTAATGGAAAGAACGTAATATCCCGTATCAACTTCACAAATAATACATGGTGGTCTTGAAGTATAGATTCTAGGTACTGACGTTGTTTATCATCTTCATTGCGTGTCATAGCGCTCTTGCATTTGTCTTTGTAAATTTTTAACCGTTACTGTTTAGTCCCTTTTTTATGGTAATATCCTTTAGGCGCGGCTCGGTATTTATGTTTCCCGCCAATGTATTGTTGTGCTGAGGTCCTTTTGGGTATTCTTGTCTTTCATTTTTGCTTATGTTCTTTGTCTATATACCATTTTGTTTTTCTTTGTTGACATATTTGTTTGTTTTTATAGTGATTAAGATCATAGCACAATGTTGACTGCTGTACCCTTATTTTTGATATTTTTACCTATTATGTCTGTTTGTTTTGGTCACACATTGTTATCAATATATTGGAATTTTATGCGACTGTCATACAAGTGAGAGGTTTAGCTAGCTATAAAACCAGATTTAAACCACCACTTTCTACATAAGGATATGCCTGTACCAAGTCAGGAATATGACAGTTGTTTTCCATTCGTTTGATGTGTTTGATCTTTTAATTTTGCCATTTGATAAGGGACTTTTCGATTTGAACTTTCCTTGGAGTTCGGTATTTTTGTTACAGATATATTTGACTTGAGTACTTAAACCCTTTCTTAAATTAAATAGATTGATCCATATTTCATATAAAAATACCATCTCAGTCTTTCTTATAGTAATTGCTAGCTAGCGCTGTAAATGATCTCTGTTGAAAATGTCAGAAACTGAGAAAAAAAACTAGAAAACGAACTCTGTGTTTTGGAATTGAAATGTCAGGTACTGAGAAGAAGAAAAATGATTTTTTTGGAACATTTGCTAGAAAAGACTTGACTTAAAGATCAATCAGGCCTTTAAATAATCTGGCTTCTTTGATCTTCTTGTTTTTGACAAGTGTCTGAAGGAACTCCAACG